TCTTGTGATACAAGTTCCATTTCAGTTTTTGATTTTCTTGTTTTTTTAACTTTCTTTTTTGTTTTTATTGCTTTTTTTGTTGTTGTTACTTCTTTTGTTTTAGAGATCTCTTTATTTTTTTTGTTACTACGTAGCTCTCGTGATTCGTGCCCACTCATTATTTTGTTTGTATTATTTTTTTTTTTGTGTGAAAAAATTACCAATTGTTGCAAGTTAAAATAAACTTATCGTGTTTTTTGGGCGTATATATGCTTTAAAATTACTTTATAGCATTTTTGTTTTATGAATACTTTTTATTTCAATACAAAAAAATTCAGTTTTTTTTATTGAATTGGCAATTTATAATAAAAGCTTGTGCAAGCTGATCACAAACCATATCCGGATATATCCGGATATCTTTTAGATAATACAATATTTGGGTATTTTCTGGATATCTGTTGGATTATCCGGATATCCAAAATTTTATATCCGTCCAATCTGAATATTCGAATATCCGTTCGATATCTGTTTTTAACGGATAAAGGATACGAACTCTAGTCTTGAGATATATTATCGATTTGGTCACAATGTATTTTCAACTTGAAAATATTCTGTAAAGAATGATTAATTTCATATTCATCACTTTATTATATTCTGAAAAGATGCATTTTCTTTAGTAAAGATATTCAACTCGTCATCTTCAGAATATTTTTGAACTTGAGTATTTATCATCATGTAAATTGTAACGACATATTACTTGTGTATAGTAAATAGAGAAGGTCTCAAGTTGAAGCATAATAGTATAAATTGTGAAACTTTATTATATAATAATTTACGTAAGAGACTTTCTGAGTTATCAGATTCTATGATTGATTTGAAATAATATCATTATCTGAACACTTGCTTCAAATTAATTTAATACGTTTCACTATAACAATAAGGAATTGCTTTAAGAAATCTGTAAATAAATCTTGAATAAATATTTATTTTATTTACAGTAACTGTTTTGAGTTAAGTCAAATTGTATCATCAATTTTCATTACTGTTAGATCAGAAAAATTAAGTTCATGGTAAACGATGGGTTGCTTTTTATGAATCTTCCCATAATAATTACTTACAGGTGATTTCATTCAATTCATTCAATTGATTATTATACTTTTAATATTATATATAAATAAAATGGATATTAATGAATATTTTGTACAAAGTAACATTATATTATTTGTTGGACCTTTTTAATGCTTGTCATAGGTTTAGTAGCTTTGTTGCTTTGCATATTCATAGTGATATTTCTAATAACAATACCATTATGATCAAAATAAATTCGAAGAATTTTAATGGTATTTGAAATTCAGGCTTCAAAGTTGACATGATAATTATATAAACAATAGGTTGCAGCTGATATCATTAACAAGTCTAATAATTATTATAATAGGTGATCTTGAAAGTCATCAAATAAAGCTTGAAACACGTGTGCATTACATTCCTCACAAAATGCTTGTTCAAATAATGTCAAAATTTAGGAGATTTTATTCAAAATTGTATTATTAATGATGAGCTGAATATTTAATAAAGGATTAAGTCGAAATTTTTCAAATTAAATTTCAATATTAAGGTTTTAAAAAACTAAAAAAGAATTGTTTAGAAAATATCTGTAAAATTCCTGAAGCTCTTTTTAGATCACCGAAATTTATATCGCTAGAAAAGATCTTATCATTTGCCTTATACAACTTAAATGGATTAAATTGAAAATTTAGAATTATATTTTAAAATGAGCATTTCAAAATATTCACGCTCATTAGAAATTTATTATGTATTTTGCTGGACATTGAACGGTTTTAAAGTGCTAGAAAATATACTTCTCGATATTATACACTATAATTTAATTATTTAATTGAGTTTGTTAAGAAAGAATGATTCAAATTCCTGCAACAACTTTTTTGGCAGGAAATTGGTCTATTTGAACAAACCTTTCATATCATTTTGATCCTGATACATCACTATAGTTTACTTCAGAAATCAAATTTTCTTTGAATTCTGTTCTCATTGATTGCAATCAGTTTTTAGTAATTTTAGTAATTTGCATGTTGTATTAATAAAAAGATAAACCCTTTTATAATTCTGAAAATATTACTTATTCACTTATACTTCTTTATCATGCCAGTCAAGATGTATTTATTTAACAATTTCACATAAAAAAGTCTCAAATATCAGAAATACAAAATTAATTGGTTTATATAATTAATTAGTTTTGATATTCTATGAGGATATGCTTTGAATAATATTTTGAAATTAATAAATTTGCAATATTTTGAATAATTCAATTTGTTTATAATATTAAATACTAAGGATCCTATAAAAATAGATAAACTTTATTTTTTAAATTATTAATAATAGTCAAATCAACAATCAATCAAAAAATACTAAAAAGATAAACATACTTTAATAATATCATATTTCTTTTATTTATAAAATTAATTATTATAGTATTATATTTTTATTATTGACAAAGAATTTTAACCAGATTTATCAGTTGAAGATGAATGGTTCCAATAGATAATTTAAAAAGATCATGAAAAATTCAATTACCTAATCTTTTAATAAAATGAAAAAATAATTAACTATATTCTGAACTTTTTATAATTGTTCAGAATTTATAACCTATAGCATTGAGTTCAACCAGATTCTTCATCAGAATTCACTAGACTAATATTATACAATATGAGATAAAAAAAAACCTGAATTTATAGTAAGAATTATAATTTCAATTCATATGTATTTGTTAGATCAAGTTCAAATGAATTTAAAGAAGTTTCTAAATAAGTCATTTTATCTTCTTTATTACTAAAACTTGGTATTAATGAGAAATTTAGATATTTGTTATAATAACTTCATAAGATATAATTAATAAACATATCTGATTGTATAGAATGCTCATATTGCAAGCTATATGATACCTATATTATAATATTAAAATTAAGATTATTATTAATTAAATTAGTAAAACAATAAATATGATACCTTTTGCTTATCTTAAAACCCATTTATAACCCATAAACATCAAAGAACTGTTATTAAAACTATTTTATTATAACTAAAGATGGTACAGCAATTGATTTCAAATTTACAAAATGTTGCAACATGAGCTAAAATTAGTTGCAACATATATAGGTTAAAACTAATTACAACGTAAGTTGCAACATTAAAAGTTGCAACATATTAATTATAGTTCCCATCTTTAATTATAACATATATATATAATAATTTCATTTGATAAAATTTTGTTAGCTATTTATCTTAAAACTAAAGTGTTTCAGTGATCCTAAGTATTATTATTTTAACATAATCTTTTTTTTTAAAATTTGCTTATTTTTTTATTATAATTTTTTTTAAAACTAATATATATTAAAATATATTGTATTTAATTTTTTTAGTAAGATTTTGATAATTTTTTACCTAAAATATTATTATATAGAAAATTCTTTTTATCTACTTTTAAATGATCTGGATAAATCACTTTTTTGATATTTTAAATATTTAAAAAGTATAAAAAAAATAATAAACCTAAAAAAAAAAAGATTTTAATCAGTTTAATATAATTAGTAGATATATGAAATACACAGTTTTTTAAAAATTTGTAATTATTTGTAAATCTGTTAAATCTGCAGATTTTTATTTAAAGTATTGTGCTTCTTTTAATTATTTTTAATGTAAGAATTTAATTAATATTGATACTGAATTAAATTTATTTAATATTAATTGTATATATGATTTCAAATTATAATTATTAATATAGAATTTAATGCTATTTCATTAAAATATATGCAAATAAATATTTAAAATTAATATATCTTAAAAACTAAAAATATATTATTAGTTGAAATAATTTTATTTTTATTTATTTTTAAAAATGTGATACTGTCAATACTTTATTAATGAGTTGTATAATAATAATTAGATTAAAATAAAATAAAAAAGTAAATACAAAAAATAAATACTAACTATTTTTTATAGTTCTACTTCAAACCTGTTTAGATTGACTAATCACCAAAATCCTTCCTCAATACCCTTCTAAAGAAAATTCTCAAGAAGAGTACAAATGATAAAAAATCTAAATAAACATGTCAGTACTATTCCAAGAAGTTGCATCAGAAATAATCAAATTTGAGAGCCACATAAAGTTAATTTTTCCAATTATCGACAAACGATGTCCTCAGTTTAGAGGAAAATCTGCCATTAACTTTGTACTTCACTATTTTTCTTCAATTAACTCCAGTATTAAGAGATCATTCTTTAATGATTATGGTATTATAATGTGACATTCATATCTTCTCACAAATAAAGTCATTTAATTTTTAAGCAGTAATTGGTTCATACTTGATTGTGAAAGAAATAAATTAAGATAATTAACTAAAGATCTAGGAGTAAAACCTTTGATCAGTTAGATAAATTTTAAGGGATTTGAGAAATATTAAATGATTCTAAAAGTTATTGTTTAATTGAAAGATATGAGTATAATCCATTGTTATCAATTTTAGAAATAATTAGCTAATCAGTATAGTCCATAAATGATTAGCAGTTTTAGGTATTGTGTTACAAATAGCACAATTTTAGCCTTTATAAATATCTGGACGTTTGATTTTAATTTTGAAAGTGTGAGTAATTCTTCAATAAGAAGTTTAATTTTGAAAGTTTTTTTACTCGTTATAGGAAAGAAGTAATAGATTTTTTTCTGTTATTATTATCAGCTAAATAAAGAAAAATTGACGACCAAGATATTTTATTATTATAAGTTTATTATTTGATAAAACAATTTCTATTTAGTTCTAAATATTCGAAAAACTGTGAGGCAGCTCAACAATCTTTCCAAAATTTTCTGAAGGAAGATTTAACAGGAACTTCATTAAAAGACAACAATTATCATTAGTTGGAATAGTCCATTTTATCCCTTTTTTAAAATGTTGAATATTAGCTAAAATATAATTTAATTCTGCTAAAAATTTTAAAATAATGATAAAAAAATTATTTCTTAAGAATAATATAAAAATACTTCTAAAGAAACAATTATGTATCATTCTAATAGAATGATAAAAATAAATATTCTTAAAAAAGATAATGAATTCTTTCTTAAAAATAAATAATCATTTTCTTGGAATGATAATATATCATTATTTAAAAT